AAGTGATCGCTAAAAAATCGTCGATTTATGGCCGATTTTGGCTGCATGGGTAATCATCAGATGATACACTATACACATCCCGTTTGCTATAACTGGTATTGAATCAGAAGTATTGTTGGAAAAAAAAGTGGTAATGGTTATTTTTTAAATAACTCGAGAAGGAAAGGTGATAGAGAACTGCGGTGTTCAGATTCTGAAGCTAGACATTTTGGGACGTAAATCTATGAAAAGATCAGGTCTGCCATGATGTCAATAACACCAATCAATAGCCAGAGCATTTGTCTTCAAAATTACGCAGGAATCAGATCTCCATCTCCTTTCGTTACGGAGATACAGACATGTTCCAAGGACATATCTATCACGTTCCAGACACGTCTGGGAATCTCAGAGAGATGTGGATGATAGATATACATATTATGTCATTAAATTCAACATGTTTCGAAACCTTTATAATAGAAATTTGGTTCTCACACTATCGACATATGATAAGAGAAAACGTAGGTGTTTACCTTTTCTTTGGGTAAAAGTTGAGTTCGGCCTACTTTTACAGTACAGAAGCATTCTTTATATCCCATTTTGAATCAAAAAAGAACCCAATTGGCAGGGCTGCGTAACTCCGCTGACTTTCAACTTCAACTCAACTCCGTTTTCAAAGTTCAACTCCAACTCCGCTCAAATTTTTCAACTCCAACTCCAACTCTCTCAATAGAAATCTCAACTCCAGTTGCTTCACTTATGTACGGAAAATTTTTCGGTTTTTAGCAGGATTCTGGACGTTTTTGAGCTTTTTCCGGCAAGAAAGCGCAAAGAACTTCCGTATTTACTCGTGAATACTAGAAATTTGGTTCTCACACTATCGACATATGATAAGAGAAAACGTAGGTGTTTATCTTTTCTTTGGGTCAAAGTTTTTCACAACAACGGTAATCAGAATCCGTCATATATACATTCTCTCTTCGAATAAGCAGATTCCTGATTAATTCTGCCCTATTTTGATCAAATTCTAGTAGGATCAGAATTTGAGTTCTTCCAGAACCGAAGTAACACCTGCTGAATTTATCGGTTTTTCGAAACTTCAGATACGTCCAGTTTTTTTAATTTATCTTCCTTAAAGACTGTTAAAAATAATAAAAACTACTTTTGTTATTCAGCTAGACGCACTCTATCCAAGCATGTATAAATAAATGGGGGCGAAACCCTACTCGAACTTTGAATTTCCATCACCTTAGATCGTCTGGAGAAATTAAGGCGCTTTAATCAACAAATGTACCTGTTTTCATCTTTTATGGAATTGTGCGGCGTTTTTCATCGATGGGAACCCATTTTTACTCAGAAAAGAGGGCGGGCCGATTTCTGACCTTATACGTTTCCGTCCTTGCAAAAGTAACGGGGAATTCAAGTGAGAACTATGGGAACTGATGCGAGAGCCAAATCCATCAATGTTTAGCCTGCGAGAAAGCCTTTTATTTATACTTTACGTCAATTCGTACTCTACGATTTCGCCCAGTTTACTATGTGAAGCGATGCGAAGAGACGGAGCTGTCTGTTTGTAAACTCCGAGAAATGCTCCTTCTTCTTGACATCAATTGATATTTTACGAATTCGCGAAAATAACGGCGAATTCAGATGAGAACTATGGGAACCGACTCGAAGAGAGGATCTTTTCCTGGTCTAGGCTCCGTGAAATGCTTCCTGCCCTTGACATCGCTTCGCGTTTTACGAATTCGTAAAAGTAACGAGGAAGTTAGGTGAGGACTATGCGAACCGATTCGGAGACACGAAAGTATTTATTTATTCACGGGAATCCTTCTTGTCCTTGACATCCATTCGTACTTTACATTTTCGTAAAGATAAGGGCGAGTTCAGGTCAGAACCACGCGAAACTATTCAAACACACGAATTTATTAATTTTTAACCTTCGAGAACTGCGCGAGCGGATTCGAAGGGAGGATTCTTTCGTGGCTTAGCGCTGGTGAAATGCTTCTGATCCTTGAGATCGATTCGTATTCCACGAGGTCAGGTCAGAAATATGCGCAGGCACGAATCTATGTATTTGTAACCTCAGAGAAATGCTTCTTGACATGAACTCGTACTTTACGAATTCGTTAAAATAACGGGAATTCGGGTGAGAACTGTACGAACCTATTCGAAGGGAGGATTTTTACGTGATCTAACGTTGGCTGATATACCTGCTTCTGACCTCAGAGAAATGCGTCTTGTTGTTGACATCAATTCGCACTTTAGAAATTCGTAACGGGTATTTCGACTGAGAACCTTGCGAACCGATGGAAAGCGACGAATCCGACTATTTTCAACCTCAGAGAAATGCTTCTTGACCAAAACATCAACTCGTACTTTAAGCCTGCATAAAAATAGCGGCGAGTTCTCGTGAGAAGTACGCGAAGCGATGCGACGAGACAAATCTGTCTAATATTAACCTCAAAGAAATGCTTCTTGTCGTTCACATCAGTTCATATGTCATGAATTCGAAAGAATAGGGGCGAATGCGGTTGAGAACTATGAGAACCGGTTCGTAGAGGAGATTCTCTCGTGGCCTGACGTCGCTGAAATGCTTCTTGTCCTTCGCACCCATTCATATTTTAGGTATTCGTAAATGTAACGGAGAGTTCAGGTGAGAACTATGGTAACAGATGCGAGAGCCGATTTGATCTGTTTTTCGCTTGAGAAAAATGCTTCTTGTCCTGTAGATTAGTTCGAACTATAGTTCGTGTTTTACGAATTATAGACGACGTTCAATTTGGGGCACTGAACCGAAGTATAGTAGACGACTAATTCAGTTTTTGGACGTTCATTAGCTGGTGCCAGTCCGAGACATATTTACTCATCCTTTTCATACCGTTATTTATGCGTTTCTCTATTTCTTCTTTCTGTTGGCGGTATTTAAGAAATATCGACGGAATATATACGTTGTTAAGGTCGTCAACATAGAGATGTGTTTGTTCTGGGTTTTGGAACACGTTAAATTTAACGCATTTCACGTGTCGTTATCGATTGATGAGCCCTTGCTCCCGACTGTTGGGGTGGTAGAACATTGTTCCGTTCGATCCACTTGTTAAAGCGTAGTAGGAAAAAATCTTTCGTAGATTTTACTGAAAATAGGTAGTAGTGAGATTGGGCGTAGTTGTGAGGTTGTAGGAGATGGACTGTCTACTTTATTGAAGCATACTGTCCGTAATTGTTTCCATTCTTTGTTCCATTGTGCTCTACTAAACATATCGTTAAATGCGATGGCTATGTCTCGATGATAAACTTCGGGTATTGTCTTTACAATTTTATCTGAGATTTTGTCGAACTCACTTGAGGTTTTTGTGTTCATTTTCGAAATGACGTTTTTTACATCTTTGCGCATAAATTTTAAGTTAGATTGGTGGCAGACGAGATTAATGTCTGATTGATCAGTAAGCTGTACAATGTAGGTCGTTCCGGAGTTCTGTGGCGGATTTATCTATTTCGTTGCTCATATTTAACCTGGGCGCCGCGAAGCGTTCCATGAAATGGTCTTGCAGACACTCAACAATTTCTCTAGGTGTTTTGTGTATGGTGCTCCCTTCGGTGATTGCGGTAAATTGAATGGTTTGCTTTTTATTAAGACATCTTACTGTTTGCCAAAATTTATGAGGGTTGGGGGAAGCGACATTGGATAAAAATTTGATCCAGTTTTGCTGACGATGCTTTTTCAATTCGTATTGGACTAGTTTCGCCCACGATCTCAATCTTAATCGGTCTACTTCTAAACGAGTATGTCGGTATCGATTCTGTAGATAGTGTTTGTGTTTTATCATTATTCTCATCGATGTTGGCAGCGACGATCTATTGCTTTTGGCTGTGTGCCAAACTGTGATCCGATGCTTAAGTGCATCTAAAAGTTTTTGGAAATACGTGAACCATTGATATGTGTCGCGCTTGTTTTCTCGCTCTTTTTCGACTTGGGGATGGATTACTGCCAGTAAACTCCGATATGCATCCCAATATGTTTTTGGAATCGCTTGTTTGTTTTCTTGAATTGATATGCTATTGCTTTCGATGAGAATTGGTAGGTGGTCACTTCTACTGTATGGTAGTGTTCGACATTGCATCGAGGAGATTGTTTCGGTCGATATGACTAGATCGATTGTGGTGTCGGATCTTAAAGAGGTTTTCATTCCCACGTTGTGTATTTCGAGGTTGTCATTGCGCTCAAGCCATTCCAATAGTATCGGCCTTTTTTTGTTTGTACTTACAGCCCCAGTCTGGATATTTAGCATTAAGATCGCCGACAATAAAGACGTTCTTGGTCATCCGTATTAGTGACGACATGCACGTGATTGGCAATTGTTCAGTGGGAGGAGAATAGACCGTAGCTATGACTTATGTTTTGTTGTAGAGGATTAGTTGTGCCGCTGCTATGTTCGGTTCGCTTATCCCCATAGCGACTGCCTTCAGTTTTTTGTCAATAGCAAGAACTACGCCGCCATGTGAATTCTTTTCTTCTGTTTTAAAAATATCATAAAAAAATAAAAGTTTTTAAATAACACTTACAGGGATGCTTGTGCCCAGTTCACTCAGAGAGATAATAGAGGGAGAAAACTCACTGACCATGTTAAGAAGATCACATTGATTAGAGTAGAAATACTGAATATTATAGTGTAAAATAGAGAACACAACATTTTTTACTTCTGGTGGTTTATGTTCTTCTAGCCAGTTGTCTAATAATGTTTCTTTCGTGCCAAAACGGACCCACTCTTCTAACGAAGATAGGCCTAATTGAATCTGAAATTGCGCCAGACCATGGGATCCTTGCAGAAATTACATTTTTATTTTGTCGTAATTGTTGCTATCGTCTTGGGTACTGTCTTGGCTATTCATTCTCAGTTGTCATATTGAATTGTCGTGGTATTCGTTTTTCGCTTGCTGGTGCTTGGTTGAATTGAAAGCAATTTGGTGTACCAGCTTCACGCTTGGTAGAACTAGGTCGTAAAGAATCGACTCTAATGTGTTTGTTACCGTTGTTGTTTGTCGATTTTCACTTCGATATCACACAGTTGCTCTGTTATTGTGGATTGTAATTGTTGAAGTCGACCGTCCATTTTGTCTGTAAATGTTTGCAAAATGTTTCCAGTACTGTTAGCCTCATACTTTGTTTTCGCCAAGCTATTTTGGCGTTCTTGTTGTATCGGTTGATATCCTTGTTGAGGATATTTGCCAAATAACGGTATATAGGGACGTGCATACGTTGAGGGACCGAGTTTTGGGAAGTTTTGTCGATCTTCGTCGTAATCCTATTGCTCTTGTCTCACTGTCAGTTCGGTTCGCATTTTCTTGTACTTTTCCACAACTTCACGTCGTATTTCTTGGACTTGTGGGCAGGATGAATGGTCTGCGTAGCGTTCACCCCCGCAGTTGGCACATTTGATTTCGTTTTGGCAATCACTGCGCAATGGATGTTGTTGTCCACATCGAATGCAGATTTGCTGGTTTGTGCACTCATTGGTTTTATGGTGATGGCTGTAGCATTTCATGCATTTGCTAACTCGAATTGGAGGATGGTACCGTTTAATGGTGTGCTTCATGTTCCCAATATCTATCGTTCCAGTGGCTAATAAGTCGTCTACCTGTTTTAATGATGTAAAGTCCGCACGAACGAGATTCAATGGTGTTTCATTTTTTGCCATCATCCGGGTGAGCTTACTCAGTGATGGATAGTTCCGTTTCAATTCATCAAGTACTTCATCTGCTTTCCACTTTCTGTGAAATGTTTGAATTACTAGTGAGTATATAGATGGATATTGTCTTGGTTTTTTTATTTCGATTTCAGCCTGGTTCAATCTATCTGGCCATCGTTGGCTGACCATCTGGTCTTCGAATGTTGCTGATTCATTAGCGAAAATTAGCAAACTCTTGTTATGGCCATATCTATCAGTGACATTTAGTAGTTTATTATGAGTTATGTCCCAGGTCGTGATCATTTCGCCAATGATCTTACGATCCGTTGTTTCTTCCGATTGACCTTTCTACGTGACTATAAAGGGTGGATAGTGGAATTTTTGTGACGATTTGTTAGCATTACTGTTTACTGTTTGTGTTATTGATTGTACTGCCTTTTGTTGCCTTTTGCCTTCTGAGAATTGGCTGGGATTCATCATCCATTGAATTATTGCGAAGCCGTTTATTTTTACTAGAAGTACCAGATACTTGTAAGTTTGACAAATTATTTCTAATCTGATTGTTTACTATACTTGGTGATTCATCGTTCATCATCATTGATGGAGACGGACGAGGTAACGTGTGTGTATATAGAAAAAATAGTAGTCCTATACGTGTTAACTGTATCTATATGAAAAAGGAGTGTGGTTCTCGTTATCAAGTAAATGTAAGGTGTAAACCAAAAAATGTCGTGATTGTAGCTGAAGCAAAGTGTCAACCTATTATCACTCAACTAATCATAGAGACTTCGGTACTATAGCACTGCACCATATTCTTTCCTCATTATGGTCAAAACTAAAGAGAGAAGGTTCTCTCATGTCACCACTTCTTCGACACATGGTGCTAGAGTTTACTGGTTTAGACCGAATCTCTTGTCTTTGTACTCTAATGAAATGAGCTAATCGGGGTCCTCCGTGACTCTAATACTTGATGACTGCTTCTTTTTACGGTTAGTTATTTTAGTAGATCCTGGTTAAAACTGGTCGAAGATTTCGTAACTGTTCTGAAGTTTTCTCTTACCATCCTCAATTAATTGGTGCGGACAGAAAGCATTTAATTTTTTGCACTAAGGTGCGCAGATATACGCATTACTATCAGACGATAACGACTGTTATTGGTTAGAAAAATATTCGAAGATGGATAGAAACGAGAGTACAAAAAGATATTTTGTGCATCAAACTGTTTCTTTTCATGAATAAAATCATAAACTGACGAGGGAACCGATTTAACTGTCAAATCGTTTTTTCGATGAGACTTAGTGGATTATAGGTTATCGACTATGCTGATTCCGAATATGACTATCGTAGTGGCCTATAGGTCTCTAGCGATATGATTTTATCCTAGCGTATGATTTTAGCCCACAAATTTCTGATTAAAATGAGATACCTCCAAGCTCTACACGACCTTTCTTTGCAAAGTTATGGATCTTACAAGCGAAACCCTAAATTAATTTCTTCTTATTTCTGTGGCTTTGAGATGGCAATGAACATTTAGGGCTTTTCTTGTAAATTCTATAACTTTGCAAAGAAAGGTTGTGTAGAGCTGGGAGATATCTCATTTCAATCAGAAATTTGTGGACTACCAGCATACCACATTAAGAAAGGTTTTAGTTATCTTTTAGAGTTTCTAAAAAACTGGTTTCCAAAAATCTGTGGAATGTTGAAATCCCTGTCAACATTTTTTCTTTACACCAAACCATGGTGTTATTGAGTAGCAGAATTTGTTTTTTTTTGTCTTCAGTTCTGTTCAAATTCTATTTATAATTTTTGATTTTAGTTTTCGAAAAGGATTTGGTGCTCTAAAACATGCAAAAGAACAGAAGATAATTCTTCTTTAGTCCGATAAATATATAAAGGCAAAAATGCTTCTAAGTAAAGTTTTCCTCTAATAAAGCGTGCTACTACGTATGAAAATCCGACAAAACGCCGAAACCACTGAATATCATATTATTACTTGCCTCCTATGTTGAAGAGCGCACTTTGGACTATCTACTCACATAAACAAATAGCTATACTGCCACTTTAGCTTTTGAGAATCTGATGTTTTTTCAAAACTCTGTTAGAATAAGAGATCTGCAAAAGCGTCTGTGTACAGTGGTCGTGGAGCAAAAAACTTCCACAATCGCTATCCGCGAGCCACTAAAAATCCTACTTCTGGAAGAATTTTTAGCTAGTTTTGCTTGTGAAAAGACGTACCTTTTTCCTTCTTCAAATCTCTTATCAGAAAAAATGTGATTTTTGTTGATGTGTTTTTCCTTCGAAGTCTAGGAAATCTCAACTTTTTAGTTTTGAAAATTTTTCTCTCCTTTCTTCTATATTTAAAATTTTTTTCTTATAAACGGCATGATGGAAGAAAGTGTGCGCTTCAAAATGAGCCGTCGTCCAGAATTTTTTGATAAGTTATCATGGAAATATTAGCACTCATGAGTATTTCCAAACAGGATACGCGATCCCCGTAACGCTCAGTTTCTCGCGGTTTTGAATTCAACCGCGGTCCACTGAATTTTTATGCGAAAAAATACTCCTTTTTTCCGATAAAAATTCAGTGGACCACGGCTCAGTTTGAAACCGCAAGAAACAAGGCGTCACGGGAAACCACGTTTTACTTTTACAAATACTCATAGGAATCACCGAAAATGCCTTCAAACACAGAGCTCTATGTACAATATGTGTTTTTCTTACTTTGCGTTCTTTCGATAGCCCGCATCACGGTCCCTCGAAAAAATAGTCCGACCGAGCTGAATGTACTGTGGTCTGATCGAAACTAGAGTTTTCCAGAAAACCCATAAAAGAACACATCAGAACGGGGCAGCGTACCCTTAAGGTATTTATTACTTACGCCAAACCTGTATTATGTAACTCAGTTATGTACTAACCTTGGACAAGTTTCTGCTCCTGTGTAATACCTATGAATGATTTCATTCCAACCACAGCTGTGATGTCCATTGCACAGGTGTGCAAGTCATCTGAAGACGAATTTTTTTATTAGGATCAATCTTACTGCAGATGGAATAAGTGCAGATGAAGAATAGTGCTTGTTCTTCCAAAAAATCTGTATGATGTAGTATAGAGTTTTGTTACGACTGCACCTTGCTGAGGATACTTTTGTAACAAAATGTTTTTAATTGAAGTTAAGCCAGTTTAGATACAAGAAACCCTTTTATAGTTTAGTAAAGTCAGATTACATATATAAAACAGTTTCCTCAGAGTCATTTAGATGATTTTTGTTGTAATTTGATATCATTCTGACTTCTTCTGCTCAAAAGTGTCAATTCCATGCTTGACACTAGAGTTATGGTATCCTCTTTGAGTAAAATTTTTGGATCTTTTAGGAAGCTACTGACCGCGTATCAAACGCATTACTGGTATCAGATGAAATTGGTAAACTGATTCGAGCAACTGATGGAATTTGAAGAATCATGAATGCCAGGGTAAGATAATGAATTGCTTTTTGCAATGAAATTTCTTGCAGGGTAGAAAAAGCAGGCGAAAATCGAAATATCGAATTTGGTGAGTGATAACAGAGCACGGACGCCGGCGTGCCATTCGGTAGCCGTTTTGAAGGACGCGAAAAATCGTAAACTAAGCAATGATATCATTGAAATGTAGATACTCCAGCAGCGTTTATGCAAGAATTGTTTATTTATTGTAGGTCGACCATTTGAAATTTCACATAATCTTGAAAGAAGAAATCAATTGACTTTATCTATTTTCAACCGATAACTTTTTATAATCGATCATCTCTGTTACGTCTGACAAATTAAGGTTTTGTAATCAACTGTAATCAACTTCTCCAAGTTTACTTAATAATGCTGTTAGAGCCTATCTGTACAAAATTGTACGTCTAGATGATAGCTTGTTTCTTTTCTTACTTTTCTTTCATATAACATTTATAGTTTTCTTTTTATGAAATAAATCTAAATATGTATACCCAACGTATAATAAAGTATTTATACAAAATTCTTGTCGGTAACGTATATTTTATACAATATACCAACAAAGATAAACATAAAAGTTAAGAATCGGACTAAAACGACAGTTACGCTGACCCCTGAAATTTTGAGAATTATATTCACAGGAAAGAATTTATATATAATAATGGAATTTATCAGTCTGACAAAGTTGCTCTTATATATTGTGGCAGATGAGGAAGTGTTTTGACGAAAAAACCAGGCATTCATGATAATTCTGATTTCTTGAGCAAACAACAACTTTTCAAAATCATACCCGTTCGAGTTATTGGCCGAAAAGCAATACTTTCTGCGTATCTGCACAACGCGCTAACAGTTCTGAATTAAAGTTTGATACATAGATATGTCAAAAGATATTCACAGTCATTCAACTTTACAGGGAATAGTAATACAGCATAGAAACTGTTCATCTTCAATACAATTCTGACATATAATCTTCGGTAATGCTTTTTTGTTTTGTTGAAAACCATGTTAAACTAAGATATAGACATTAGAAAATAGATAACGTTCATACGCGTATTTCTGAAATTAGCTATATACGCTTTGTTTCTTCTTGCTCATATATATGTGGTAGGTATAAATGAAATGTAGGAGAATTTAAAATATTCCTAGGAATAAATAAAATTTTAATATGAACTAGTTCAACATAAAATTTGATTTATCCGTATAGGAATATTGGAAATATTTCAAGCAAACAAGTTCTGTCGTCTATTGCAGTTATTCCTACAGGAATAAATACAATTTTCTTCTGATTAGACGAGTAATAGTGAATGCATTTATAAGGAAAGAAAAGAAAGCGTCTTAGTAAAGAGTTGTTAACTAAACAGAAAACTCCTTTTTCCATTGAAAATGGAGTTGTTTTAGGAGAAATTGGTTGATCATGTATCAAAACTCAATCAAACATTTTCTTCCAAATTTGTTATTACACGTACAATATACGGTGAAGTAATATTAGCATTGCAAGATTGATGGGGTAATGCATAGCTTTTAAATTTTAGGTCAAGAAATATTTAAATTAGTTAGTATCGGCACAACAACAGTTGTTTATTTTATTAAATCAAACCATTCAGTTATCACGTATGAGGATCTTTACGATAAAATTAAAGAAATCTACGAAAAAGCTGGACACCGAGGTCGAGGCAAAAGGTGGAACAAAGGAAGCTAAAATTAGTGTCTCTCTGACTTTCGATAGTAATCCACTGTCATTAGGTGAATGATCAATATGCGTGCATAGCATACGAAGCGTTCAAAATAGTTATCTCCCGTTGTGATACATGTAGAAATCGCCATGGGTTTCCCAAACTATTAGCTAGTGTGTTCTGATGCGTTTTGAACCTTCTCGCTCATAGGTTTCTCAT